CCCCCCCCCCCCCCCCGTCCATCTGAACACCGAAATGTATGCCTTTTTAACGAGCTAAAATAAATGTCGCTTGCCTTGTCCTCGTCGTAAGTTATAGACCAGAAAAAATGGAATAAAAACCATTTGGCGGAACATAGGAGCTGCGCCCAGTATGATGGGCTGTGAAGCCTCGTTAATTATATTCCGCACTACCAGTCTCTCCCGGGGTGACGGGTATGGCGCTCTCAGTCTTGCTGGATACTTCTTACGGCTCTCATTATTATAACACGTGACTCGCCTTGCTTCTATATATGTACTAGAAGGTGTACATGTGTACTAGAAGGTGCACATATGTACTAGAAGGTGTACATATGTACTAGAAGGTGTACATATGTACTAGAAGGTGTAGCTGGCGGTGCCCGGGTCCGGTCCGCCGCCGCCTCTCCTGTTATACCACTGGCAGCGTTCATTAGGTATTGTGTTGGTGGTGGTAATTAACCTGAAGTTTTACAGAAGTAAACATGTCGTGACTGGTGTTAGTGGCCTGAGAGCTCTCCCTCTCATAACACAGTCAACCTTACCCTATACTGCCCCCTACACCACCACAGCTCAGCAGTTTTACTGCCAGTAAAACCCAGTTGACCATTACTGCTCGCTGAACACAGAGGAACTAGTATACTGTTTATGAATTGGTTCTAAGTCAATCCTCCCACGATTCTGTCAGAGCGAGTGTGTGTTTTTAGCGTGTGTGTGGGGGGGGGGAGGGTGTCGTGTACTTACCTAGTTGAACTCTCCTACTTGTGCTTGCGAGGGTTGAGTTTCATCTCTTTGGTCCCACCTCTCAACCGTCTATCAACTGGTGTGCAGATTCCCGTGCCTATTGAGCGCTATCATATCTACATTTGAAACTGTGTATGGAATCAGCCTCCACCACATCACTGCTTAATGCATTCCACTTAACTAATCTGACACCGGAAAAATTCTTTCTTATGTTTCTGTGTCTCGTTTCGATACTAAGTATCCACCTGTGTCCCCTTGTTCCCATACCTCCCGTGCTAAATAGTTTACTTGGTTGATGGGGTTCTGAGAGATCTACTCCCTAAGCCCGGCCCGAGGCCAGGCTTGAATTGTGAGAGTTTGGTCCACCAGGCTGTTGATTGGAGCGGCCCACATACCCACCACAGCCCGGTTGGTCCGGGACTCACTGAAGAAAACAATCTAGTTTCCTCTTGAAGATGTCCACGGTTGTCCCGGTAATATTTCTTATGCTCGCTGGAAGGATGTTGAACAGCCGCGAACCTCTGATGTTTATACAGTGTTCTCTGATTGTGCCTATGGCACCTCTGCTCTTCACTGGTTCTATTCTGCATTTTCTTCCATATCGTTCACTCTAGTACGTTGTTATTTTACTGTGCAGATTTGGGACCTGTCCCTCCAGTATTTTCCATGTGTATATTATTTGGTATCTCTCTCGTCTCCTTTCTAGTGAGTACATTTGGAGATCTTTGAGACGATCCCAATAATTTAGATAATTTATCGCGTTTATGTACGCCGTATATGTTCTCTGTACTCCCTATATTTCAGCAATCTCTCCTGCTTTGAGAGACGAGAAGCAAGCAAGGGGGCCTGACTGCTGAGTGGACAGCGCTCGGGATTCGTAGTCCTGAGGTTTCCTGTTCAATCTCCGGTTGAGGCGGAAACAAATGGGCAGAGTTTTTCACCCTAATGCCCCGGTTCACCTAGCAGTAAATAGGTACCTGGGAGTTAGACAGCTGCTACGGGCTACGTCCTGCGGGGGTGTAACAAAAAGGAGGCCTGGTCGAGGACCGGGCCACGGGGACGCTAAGCCCCGAAATCATCTCAGGATAACCTCAATATAATCGAGGGATAACTAAAGGAGTACCTAAAGGACAGAACATTAGGCATTACAGTGAGATAAGCTTACAAGTTTGAGGGTTGTAAAGAGTGGCGCCGAGGTCGGTGGTGAGACCACTAATATTGCTAATGTATGTTAATGATATACTGGAGGAGTGAGCTCATACAGGTCAATGTTTGCACGCGATCATAAGGTAACGAGGAGTGTAAACACCGGCCAAGACTTGCACATGTCTTACGGGATGACCTTGACAAACTCCATCATTGGCCAAACAAATGGTTGTTGGAGTTCAGTTCCAACAAGTGTAAGGTAATGATGGTGGGAAAAGAGTGAAAGGAGACCACAAGGTATTTACATTGTAAACTTGGGAGAGCAACTTCAAGAGTCGGAGAAGGGCAATTGTTTGAGAGTGGATATAACCTGCGTCCACAAGCAATTACAACGTCGTTGTTGTTGTTTAAGATTCGCTACTTGGAACAAAAAGTTCCAAGTAGCACGGGCTATGGTGAGCCCGTTGTGGACTTACCTGGCACAGGAGCGGGGCTGTGGATGATGAATTACAACATCAGAATAGTTCAATTATAACACAACAGCTAAAATAATGTTGGTAGGTAGGGCATATAGCACTATACTCCCCTGTATAGTCACTGGTTGGTAAATTCTTCAAAGTACTCCCCCCCCCACCACCGCCACCATCACCGTGGGCCACCCCCCACACCCCCACCACACCTCCCCCCCACCACCCACCATGATGGATGGCCCCCAGGGGAGGGGGGGGGGGGGGGCGGGAGCCAGCAAGGTAACCACAGGTAAAGATACACTTGACTATTCATAAGGTTGACTCCCGCCTCGCCCGCCTCTATGCCTATATGGAGAGTTTCGCCATCAATTTATATTAGCGTAAATCTGTCGGCCAATTATGCCACCTTAGGCCTACCTGGGAGTTTAATGTGTGTGTGTGTGTGTGTTTGTGTGTGTGTGTGTGTGTGTGTGTGTGTGTGTGTGTGTGTGTGTGTGTGTGTGTGTGTGTGTGTGTGTGTGTGTGTGTGTGTGTGTGTACTCACCTAATTGGGCTTGCGGGGGTTGAGCTCTCGCTCTTTGGTCCCGCCTCTCAACCGTCAATCAACTGGTGTACAGGTTCCTGAGCCTATTGGGCTCTATCATATCTACACTTGAAACTGTGTATGGAGTCAGCCTCCACCACATCACTGCCTAATGCATTCCATTTGTCAACCACTCTGACACTAAAAAAGTTCTTTCTAATATCTCTGTGGCTCATTTGGGCACTCAGTTTCCACATGTGTCCCCTAGTGAGTGTGCCCCTTGTGTTAAATAGCCTGTCTTTATCAACCCTGTCGATTCCCTTGAGAATTTTGAATGTGGGGATCATGTGTGTGTGTGTGTGTGTGTGTGTGTGTGTGTGTGTGTGTGTGTGTGTGTGTGTGTGTGTGTGTGTGTGTGTGTGTGTGTGTGTGTGTGTGTGTGTGTGTGTGTGTGTGTGTGTGTGTGTGTGTGAGCGCGCGCGTGTGTGTGCGTGTATTTATAGACGTACAAGAGCACGTGTACACATAGGTAGGCTTATTTAATTATGAAGAGTATTATGCAAACAAGCAATCTTTATGTACACATGTAGGGTGTGCTCGTGTGTACACGTCCACACACCTACACCCCCACACACTCCTACACCCCCCACACACACCTACACCCCCCCACACCCACCCACACCTGTACACCCCGCCAACACCCACCCACACAAGGGAACAAACAGGAATGAGAGAGACAGACAGGAGACACGTGGACAAGACAGTCCACGTGGCAGACAGTACAGAAGGAGGCCATAATGTACACAAGAGGGCAAGACAGTAGTACACAGTATGAAGGAGAGTGGTGGTGAAGTGCGACAATCACATAGCGCTCAAGGGTAAATTGCCCCATAAGCACATCAGGAGGGAGATGAGGGAACGACCAAGTGATCAGCCTATACAGAAGGTAGGGAAGGGTGGGGGGGAGGGGGGGGGGTCACACGGAGATGGACAAGCTGGCAAAGAGCTTAACAAACACCTTCCAGGAAATTTTCAAGCCTGACCCTAACCTGCTACTAGCCCTAAGGGAAGAGACCCCCCCCCCCCCACCCCAACAGCAGAGACTCGCGGAAATGATAGAAACACGAGAAGAAGCAACTACAGGAACTGGATATGACAAAAAGCTGTAGGGTCAGACAAGATAGCCCCTTAGGGTCAGACAAGATAGCCCCTTAGGGTCAGACAAGATAGCCCCTTAGGATCAGACAAGATAGCCCCTTAGGGTCAGACAAGATAGCCCCTTAGGGTCAGACAAGATAGCCCCTTAGGGTCAGACAAGATAGCCCCTTAGGGTCAGACAAGATAGCCCCTTAGGGTCAGACAAGATAGCCCCTTAGGGTCAGACAAGATAGCCCCTTAGGGTCAGACAAGATAGCCCCTTAGGGTCAGACAAGATAGCACCTCATATACTACAGGATGCAATGGACGCACTGTAAAATCCAAAGATATAACATTAAATACCTGTGTAGAAAGAGGGAGCTGCCAGACTGCTGGAAGATGGCTAATGTGGTAGCAATAAACACAGCTGGCAGAAGCCAAGAGCCGCTAAACTACACAACGGTATCATTAACATGCTTCAACCCGCCAGTTACCTCACTGGTCCCAACCACGCCAGTACCTGCTACACTTGTTCTCCCGACCTGGGCTGAGTCACTCCCGAGCTGGGCTGAGTCACTCCCGACCTGGGCTGAGTCACTCCCGAGGTGGGCTGAGTCACTCCCGAGGTGGGAGTACTGACGGGAGAACACATCAACTAGCAGTATACATACACTGGTAGTCACCGTGGCGCAGTGGTAAAACACTCACCCATCGCTTCACGAGCGCTTTGACCTGGGTTCGTATCCTGGCCGAGGATGATTCATAGGGCGCCAATCCTTAACTGTAGCCTCTGTTCACCCAGCAGGGAATACGTACCTGGATGTTAAACGATTTGGTGGGTCGTATTCCGGGGAAAATTAGGATTAAAGACCTGCCTTAAACGCTGTATGTGCTAGTGACTGTACAAGAATGTAACAACTCTTATATATGGAAATAAATAAAATCAAACACATGAAGGTACTCACGTATTCAGCGTTGATGAGAGGCGGCTGGTAGCCCGTAGGGCGGTAGTGGTCTTGCTTGGAGACATCTGTGTGAATATCACCCAGGAAGAGTTCCTTCCTGGCGCCCGTCTTGGAGGCGGCGGCGGCGTCGCGCGGGTGCTGCTGGTGCTGCTGCTGCTGGTGCTGCTGCTGCTGCTGCTGCTGCTGCTGCTGCTGGCGGTGGTGGTGGTGGTTGTGGACGGGGCCAGTGATCTCCACCCTCAGGAGCTGCAGTTCGTGCCAGGCACCACCCAGGCCCCTGGCGCAGTCATCGTCCTCCGTGACCTCGTTGGCAGTGTCGGTGTAGGCCAGGACGGTGTGCGCCTTGTGAGGCTTCCACGGCTGGTGGCGGCACGACCAAATGGACTCATGTAATCATCATCAAAGAATTTGGTAAAGACTGGAATGTGGGGGGGAGCAGGGGGGGGGGTGATCGAGACGGAGGGTGGAGGGGAGGACGATAATACATAATTGGAAAATGGGGAATTATTAATAATAGGCCGATTTTAAGTCTGAATGTTGATTCTGGAGCAAAGTGTCAAAACTTTGAAAGAGAAACCATGTATCTTGAAGATAACAATACGTACTGAGTGACTTCACACTGACTGTTCAGATGTACTGTACTCTGCGCACAAACACACACACACACACACACACACACACACACACACACACACACACACACACACACACACACACACACACACACACACACACACACACACACACACACACACACACACACACACACAAGGACACAGAGACAGGGAGGAGGAGTGGCACTACTAATAAAGCGGAAATGGAAGTTTGATGAGCTGGAAAATCCGGGTACCAATGAAAGCACGAGCTTCATACATGGAACTCTGACAGTGGATGGGAAGAAGATTGTAATCTTGATACTCTACAATCCCCCACCAAACAGTAGAAGGCCCAGGCAGGAGTACGAGGACAGCAACAAGACATGTATAGATGAACTGCAGAGGGCAGCAACTATAGCGCATAGAATGAGAGCGAAGCTGCTGGTCATGGGGGACCTAAATCACGGAGAGATAGATTGGGAAACGAGGAATCCCCATGGCGGGGAGGAGACCTGGGGAGCGAAGCTGGTAGACGTTATTGACAGGAATTTCCTAACACAGCATGTGAAAGAAGATACTAGGGAAAGAGGAGGGGATACGCCCAGCCTATTAGATCTCATTTTCACCCAGAATGTAGAAGACATCGAGCAGTTGGAACATGAAATACCACTAGGAGCTAGTGACCATTGTGTCCTAGTCTTTGACTACATGATGGAGCTTAAAATTGTGACCAAAGGACAAGAGGTCCGGGAAAAGAGACTTGATTACAGAAAAGGGGACTACAGAAGGATAAGGGACTACCTGGGAGAAGTGCAGTGGGAGGAAGAACTTAGAGGAAAAACAGTGCAAGGTATGATGAACCAAGTCATATTGAAATGCAAGGAGGCTGAAGAGAGATTTATTCCAACAATAAAGGAAAAAAGCAGGAGGGAACAGAATAACCCATGGTTTAATAGACAGTGTCAGGAAGCAAAGGTGAGAAGCAGGAGGGAGTGGAGGAAGTACAGAAGACAAGGGACAGAGGACAACAGGATTAGATGTAACAGAGCTAGGAATGATTACATTAACATAAGACGAGTGTCGGAAAGAAATTATGAGAATGATATTGCAGTCAAAGCGAAAAAGCAACCTAAATTACTACATAGCCATATAAGAAGGAAGATGTCGGTAAATGACCAAGTGACAAGACTGAGGAAAACAGAAGGGGCATATAAAGAAAGCGACAAGGAAATCTGCGAGGTACTGAATGCAAAATTCCATGGAGTGTTCACAACCGAGCCTGAGCAGCTCCCATTGTTAGAAGAGATTACCCAAGATGAAAGACTATCAGATATAGAGGTGACAGCAGAGGATGTAATGAAACAGTTGACAACACTGGATGCAAATAAAGCTGTTGGACCAGACAAAGTATCACCGTGGATACTTAAAGAGGCAGCGCAGGCTCTCAGCGTGCCTCTGGCAATGATCTTTAATGAGTCACTTATGTCGGGAGAATTGCCCAGTTGCTGGAAGGAGGCAAATGTCGTACCGATTTTCAAAAAAGGTGATAGGGAGGAGGCACTTAACTACAGACCCGTATCACTGACAAGCATCCCCTGCAAAATACTGGAAAGAATAATTAGGCTAAGACTTGTTGAGCACCTGGAGAGCATTGGGTTTGTAAACAAGCACCAACATGGGTTCTGGACAGGGAAATCATGCCTAACAAACCTTTTAGAATTCTATGATAAAGTAACAAGGATAAGGCAGGACAGAGAAGGCTGGGCAGACTGCATATTTCTTGACTGCCAAAAGGCCTTTGATACAGTACCGCACATGAGACTGCTATACAAACTTGAGAGGCAGGCAGGAGTAAGCGGAAAGGCCCTAGTATGGGTGAAGAGGTTCCTACCTAACAGGAAGGAGCCAGAGGGTAATGGTAAGGGGCGAGAAGTCGGACTGGCGAACAGTAACAAGTGGAGTACCTCAAGGATCGGTGCTGGGACCAATCCTCTTTCTAATTTACGTAAATGTTATGTTTACAGGAGTGGAATCATACATGTCAATGTTTGCGGATGACGCAAAATTAATGAGAAGAGTTGTGACAGACGAGGATTGTAGGATCCTCCAAGAGGACTTAAACAGGCTGCAGAGATGGTCAGGGAAATGGCTACTGGAGTTTAACACCAGTAAATGTAAAGTTATGGAAATGGGATCAGGTGACAGGAGACCAAAGGGACAGTACACAATGAAGGGAACTGCCTACCTGTAACGATTCGAGAAAGAGACCTGGGAGTGGATGTGACACCTAATCTAACTCCTGAGGCACATATAAGTAGGATAATGACAGCAGCGTACTCTACACCGGCGAAAATTAGAACTTCATTCAGAAACCTAAATGAGGAGGCTTTTAGGGCGCTTTACACTGCCTACGTGAGACCAGTCTTAGAGTATGCCGCGCCATCATGGAGCCCCCACCTAAAGAAACACATAAAGAAACTGGAGAAGGTTCAGAGGTTTGCGACGAGGCTTGTCCCAGAGTTACGAGGGATGGGATATGAAGAGCGGCTGAAGGAACTGAACCTTACGACACTAGAGAAAAGAAGGGAGAGAGGAGATATGATAGGGACATATAAAATACTCAGGGGAATTGACAAAGTAGAAATAGATGAAATGTTCACACGTAATAATAACAGAACGAGGGGACATGGGTGGAAACTGGAAACTCAGATGAGTCACAGAGATGTTAGGAAGTTTTCTTTTAGCGTGAGAGTAGTGGAAAAATGGAATGCACTTGGGGAACAGGTTGTGGAAGCAAATACTATTCATACTTTTAAAACTAGGTATGATAGGGAAATGGGACAGGAGTCATTGCTGTAAACAACCGATAGCTGGAAAGGCGGGATCCAAGAGTCAATGCTCGATCCTGCAAGCACAAATAGGTGAGTACAAATAGGTGAGTACACACACACACAAGGGGGGCCTCGTAGCCTGGTGGATAGAGCGCAGGACTCGTAATTCTGTGGCGCGGGTTCGATTCCCGAACGAGGCAGAAACAAATGGGCAAAGTTTCTTTCACCCTAAGTGCCCCTGTTACCTAGCAGTAAATAGGTACCTGGGAGTTAGTCAGCTGTCACGGGCTGCTTCCTGGTGTGTGTGTGTGTGGTGTGGAAAAAAAAAAAAGTAGTTAGTAAACAGTTGATTGACAGTTGAGAGGCGGGCCGAAAGAGCAAAGCTCAATCCCCGCAAAAACACAACTAGTAAACACACACACACACACACACACACACACACACACACACACACACACACACACACACACACATACTGTACCCAAGATTTACTCTGTAATGAAACACTGTTGTGATATAAAGCTTTATCATTACAACTTGGAGTCATAAAAGTTCTTCAGTCGTCTTCCGTGGTGGAGTTCTCAATCATCAAATAATTAGTGGAACAGCTCTCTAGCCCTGAGGAGCCCCTCACAGAAGCTTCTCCCTAAAAGTACATATAGGTGAGTAAATCTCTGAAAACCCCCACCGGCGCCCAGAATGGCTGGACGTGGACCCATATATTTCGTTGGACTCTGCTGCCAGGGACTCCATAAATATTCCAGATAGACAACATTGCTCTCCACAACCCAGACTATCATAACCTGAGTGGACGAGACGCTGCCATTATGGACGTCCGTGGTCTGGGACACCCCAGGGGGACGGGTGTTAGGGCGCTGAAACAGGCAGGGAGGGAGGGAGGGAGGGAGGCAGAGAGGGAGGCAGGGGGGCAGGCAGGGAGGGAGGGAGGCAGGGGGGCAGGGAGGGAGGCAGGGGAGCAGGCAGGGAGGCAGGCAGAGAGGGAGGGAGGCAGGCAGACAGGCAGGTAGGGAGGCAGGCAGGCAGGCAGGCAGGCAGGCAGGCAGGCAGGCAGGGAGGCAGGCAGGCAGGCAGGCAGGCAGGCAGGGAGGCAGGCAGGCAGGCAGGCAGGCAGGCAGGCAGGCAGGCAGGCAGGCAGGCAGGCAGGCAGGGAGGGAGGGAGGGAGGGAGGCAGGCAGGCAGGCAGGCAGGCAGGCAGGCAGGGAGGCAGGCAGGCAGGCAGGCAGGCAGGCAGGCAGGCAGGCAGGCAGGCAGGCAGGCAGGGAGGCAGGCAGGGAGGCAGGCAGGCAGGCAGGGAGGCAGGCAGGCAGGCAGGGAGGGAGGCAGGCAGGCAGGGAGGCAGGCAGGCAGGCAGGGAGGCAGGCAGGCAGGCAGGGAGGCAGGCAGGGAGGCAGGCAGGGAGGGAGGCAGGCATGCAGGCAGGCAGGCAGGGAGGCAGGCAGGCAGGCAGGCAGGCAGGCAGGCAGGCAGGCAGGCAGGCAGGCAGGCAGGCAGGCAGGGAGGCAGGGAGGCAAGCAGGCAGGCAGGGAGGCAGGCAGGCAGGCAGGCAGGCAGGGAGGCAGGGAGGCAGGGAGGCAGGCAGGGAGGCAGGCAGGGAGGCAGGCAGGGAGGCAGGGAGACACATACTGTACAGTGCTCACCTTGACAACTTTGCCGGGGCAGGAGGCGTTGACAGCGGCCGCCAGCAGAGCAGCATCACCGTGGGTGTGGCCCACCACCTCCACCCTGAGGAGAAACACCAACCATGGTTCACTCTTCTTCATAATCCTCAGTGTGGACCATGGTCCTGGCTCATAGTGTGGTCTATGGTCCTAGCTCATAGTGTGGTCCATGGTCCTAGCTCATAGTGTGGTCCATGGTCCTAGCTCATAGTGTGGTCCATGGTCCTGGCTCATAGTGTGGTCCATGGTCCTGGCTCATAGTGTGGTCCATGGTCCTGGCTCATAGTGTGGTCCATGGTCCTGGCTCATAGTGTGGACCATGGTCCTGGCTCATAGTGTGGCCCATGGTCCTGGCTCATAGTGTGGCCCATGGTCCTAGCTCATAGTGTGGTCCATGGTCCTAGCTCATAGTGTGGCCCATGGTCCTGGCTCATAGTGTGGCCCATGGTCCTGGCTCATAGTGTGGCCCATGGTCCTAGCTCATAGTGTGGTCCATGGTCCTGGCTCATAGTGTGGTCCATGGTCCTAGCTCATAGTGTGGTCCATAGTCCTGGCTCATAGTGTGGCCCATGGTCCTGGCTCATAGTGTGGCCCATGGTCCTGGCTCATAGTGTGGTCCATAGTCCTAGCTCATAGTGTGGTTCATGGTCCTGGCTCATAGTGTGGCCCATGGTCCTGGCTCATAATGTGGTCCATAGTCCTAGCTCATAGTGTGGACCATGGTCCTGGCTCATAGTGTGGTCCATGGTCCTGGCTCATAGTGTGGTCCATAGTCCTAGCTCATAGTGTGGTCCATGGTCCTAGCTCATAGTGTGGACCATGGTCCTGGCTCATAGTGTTGTAATGACCGCTTACCCTGCCGTAATAACCGCGACCTCTATTGTAATAACCCAATGTTCCCCAGTATTAATCCTGTTATCTTGTGATCTCTCATGATCGTAATATACGCTCTCTGTTGTACATCTCTGTCTCTCTTCACTCAATACCCCAGCTTAACACTGTTACAGTCCAGCATGACCCCTCACTGGACGGCCACGTATATAAGAGGAATATTAAATGAGGAAGATACACCAAGGACAAGGGTTATTAGTTGAAACAATAACAAAACACATTAACACTGCCACCACCTTCCTGACCAACCATACCTGAATGTGTCTATCACCGATCCCCCAGGAAGGCAAGGAATCAGTAACCATGGGACTCCGGGTAATATGAATTACAGTAATAAATTTTGGAAAAATTAGTTTGTTTAATTCCCGTTACTTATTTGAATCCAAGGGCAACTTTAGTATCCATTAATAGTAGGAGAACCTGGGGGCTTCCAATACAACACCTAAAAATGACAAAGAAGCAAAATATATCAAAGGGGAGTTAAGTGAATACCACTGGACAAGCTATACAATTTATTTTATGAAACATGTAAATTAAGACAATTTGAACACATCACCTATTCTATTCCCCTAGAGGCACAATGGATATTTACCGAGGACACAAAACTCAAGTGCTACTATACCTTAAATACCCGCACTACGGCCACGATGTTAATGGCTGCCCTCAGCCCCGAGGATACGGGCTTGCGGCCCTGTTCCTATACACTCCCAAGACACACTGATGAAATTTAGTTTTTCCAACTTATTGCTAGGAAGGATTACTCCTCCCACCATCTAATACAGCCCCAGGGCTCCACCCATTATTTTGGCAATGGCCAACCATTTAACACGTAGGCCTGAGGTCTGGCTCTCTAGGGCCAATAAGGACTTGGCCCTTATCTCAGGCCAATCACCTTCACTGATCTGTCGTGGAAAGCTACATGAATTCCTGAAGATTGAGTCAGCTCTCCCCAGCTAAAGAGAAGGGGGACAAGGCGCGTCTATGGAGCCCAGGCACCTGCGAGCAATGTTTACAAAACTGATAAATTATGTTCAAGCCTGTCTCCTCTAAGATAGCGAGTAGGGACATTTGACTCTGCCTCGTATGGGGAAAAGGCCGGTGAGAGGGGAAGAGAGAAGATGAGAGGGAAAGAGAGGGGATGAGAGGGGGAAGTTGAGTGGGAGAAGCCAAGGTATCCAAGACCACCCTACCCTCAGGTCAACCTCTTGACCTTGACAAATGGGCGACAAGGGGGGGGGGAGGAAGAGGAGACGAATGACGGCCAAGGGGAGGGGAGAAGGAAGGAGGGGAGAGGGAGAAGGAAAGGAGGGGAGAAGGAGAGGGAAAAGCAGGGGAGAAGGAGCAGGAGAGGAGGGGAGAAGGGAGAACCAATGAGCTGAGCCCCAGATCAAGGAGAGGGAAAAGCAGGGGAGAAGGAGCAGGAGAGGAGGGGAGAAGGGAGAACCAATGAGCTGAGCCCCAGATCATTACAGTGTGGTCCATGGCCCTAGCTCATAGTGTGGTCCATGGTCCTGGCTCATAGTGTGGTCCATGGTCCTAGCTCAGAGTGTGGTCCATAGTCCTGGCTCATAGTGTGGCCCATGGTCCTGGCTCATAGTATAGCCCATGGTCCTGGCTCATAGTGTGGTCCATAGTCCTAGCTCATAGTGTGGTCCATGATCCTAGCTCAAAGTGTGGACCATGGTCCTGGCTCATAGTGTGGTCCATGGTCCTGGCTCATAGTGTGGTCCATGGTCCTGGCTCATAGTGTGGACCATGGTCATGGTTCATAGTGTGGTCCATGGTCCTAGCTCATAGTGTGGTCCATGGTAATAGCTCATAGTGTGGTCCATGGTCCTGGCTCATAGTGTGGTCCATGGTCCTGGCTCATAGTGTGGTCCATGGTCGTGGCTCATAGTGTGGTCCATGGTCCTGGCTCATAGTGTGGACCATGGTCCTGGCTCATAGTGTGGACCATGGTCCTGGCTCATAGTGTGGTCCATGGTCCAAGCTCATAGTGTGGTCCATGGTCCTGGCTCATAGTGTGGTCCATGGTCCTGGCTCAAAGTGTGGTCCATGGTCCTGGCTCATAGTGTGGTCCATGGTCCTGGCTCATAGTGTCGTCCATGGTCCTGGCTCATAGTGTGGTCCATGGTCCTGGCTCATAGTGTGGTCCATGGTCCTAGCTCATAGTGTGGCCCATGGTCCTGGCTCATAGTGTGGTCCATGGTCCTGGCTCATAGTGTGGCCCATGGTCCTGGCTCATAGTGTGGCCCATGGTCCTAGCTCATAGTGTGGCCCATGGTCCTAGCTCATAGTGTGGTCCATGGTCCTAGCTCATAGGGTGAATCCTAATCATTAGGGCATGGGTATTCCACCGGGAACAGCCGGGTAGGGGGGGGGGGTGAAAGCCTAGGTTTAGGCTCCGGTTGGGAGCCTCGGGACTCCTAGTGGATTCACCTGAATCCCAGGTTACATTGCTTTTCCCGAGTCGTGGCGTAGTGGTCAAGGGCGCTAGCTTGCTAGTACAAAGTGATCGGGTTCGGTTCGAAAACAGCGGAGGAGGGAAGCCTGGTGATGCGACTGAATGAGCCAGCGTCCGCCAATCACAGTAGGAAGTTAGCAGCAAGGTTTCGAGGCCCTTACAGAGTCATTATGAAACTAGGCTCCAGTAAATTTCATAATCATGGGTATATTTGATGACCAGGCTGAAAGAATCATCCACTTAAATAAATTGAAACTATGTGTCAAAGGTTGAACTGGAATTGTCTTCAGTAATTCCAGTCCCCGAGAGAATTGAGGGAATGGTTATTCCTGATGCTCAGAGGAGGAGGATGACCTTCTGCCATCCTTAATTAGTATCCAAGTTAAGCCTTGTCACCCTATGGTCACCAGATCTCGCGCGCACGTGAGCGCACAGTAACTGCATTAAACTGTCATTTGGGTCAATAGGAAGTGGCAAAGAATTGCAATGTGTTGGTCAAGAATGAAGTACCTTTACATACCCTGGAGGAGTAATCCTTCTCAAGACGGGACAGCACCATTGATTTAAATAGTATTAACATTGCTGTGGGTTCTGGATTTGAACGTTCTCATAATCCATCCTATCATTTTCCTGGCCGCCGCCGCCGCTATATTTGCTCGGTTAAGTTCACTAAATATCAGGTCATCAGACATCATAATTCCCAGATCTTTTACTTATTGCTTTCCTTCTATGAGTAGGTCTGATTGTGCCCTGTACCCTGTGTTTCGTTAAGTTCATCGTTTCCACCGTACCTAAGTACCTGGAACTTATCACCGTTAAACATCATGTTATTTTCAGTTGCCCAATCGAAGACTTTATTAATATCTGCTTGTAGTTTTTCAATGTCTTCTACAGAGGAAATTTTCATGCTGATTTTTGTATCATATGCAAAGAATAACACGAAGCTGTGACTAGTATTTTTGTCTATATTCGAGATAAGAATAAGAAACAGCAGTGGTGCCAGGACTGTGCCGTGAGGTACACAGCTTTTCACTGCACTTGGGTTTGATCTTATTTGATTGACCGTCACTCTCTGCATTCTCTTGGACAAAGTTGAAAATCCAACGCCCCACTTTACCCGTTATTCCTATTGATCTCATATTATGGGCTATCACACTATTGGAAAAAATCCGACACCATTTACTAACCTTTAATATAATATGTAGATAATATTGCTTGTGTTCTTGTACTAACAAATTAACACATACTAACACAAATTATTTTATTTACCCAGGCAAAGAAAATTAGAATTGTGGCATTTTCCACCAGCACCACTACCACCATTTGTGGTGGTGGTGGTAGTGGTGGTGGTGGTGGTGCCTTACTTCGTGTGGTTGGGGTGAAGGTGGAGGCAAGTGTCCAGTAATCTCTGTCAGCCAATGGTGTATACGTGGAGGGTCATGACCCCCTCCAGGGTCATTAGGTGGCCCTTAATATGGTCCAGTGATGACCATCATGAATGTACTTTGTTTGTCCAACGTGAGGTTCTAGTGTATCCAGAGGAAGTGTTGAAGGGCGAGGCGACAGGAGAGCGAGGTGACGGGAGGCCGTCCCAGCTGTGGACGGGTGGTGTCCACAGTCATGAGCGGAAGGTCTCATAAGGACAGGCAAATTTAGTGAGGACGTCGGAGCACCCAGCGGGCCACGCCCCCCTCCCCGGGCAACAAGCTTCCAGCAGCACTACGTCAAGGTGGATATCTATATCCACACACACACACACACACACACACACACACACACACACACACACACACACACACACACACACACACACACACACACACACGTGGGTTGCCCCGTGTGTGTGTGTGTGGGGGGGGGGGTGCAACACCAACTGGGACTGACCGACACAGTTTTCAAGTCTCACTCCCGGCTTCATATATACTCATTTTCAATTATTTTTCTGGCGTGTAAAATTACTACAGCTTAAACTAAACCATATACACATTACTGAATCTAATTTTAAATAAATGTAATAAAATGTTAACGAATTTCTTCTTTCAATATACATGAAAATCATTTTGCAACCCGTCCTCAGACCAAGTCTATTCCATCCAGAAGTCGACCCCAAAGACGCATTCATCAATGTTAACATGCTGTTCATTCAAAACAAGACTTTTCTCAAATATAAATTGATATTATAGTATTTTAGCATATTGTGAATATATAGGCATAGGCTAGGTTAGGTGTTAAGGTTCTGTTGGCGATTATTTGTATTTGTAGTACGTGGGTGAAGCATTTACAGCGTTGTGGTTCGAACAAAATTCATCAGTGAAGCACTTGTTCCGGAAGTGTTCGGACGTCATCAGTTGTGAGTCGTGTGTAAACAGTTTTTCATTCATAAACAGGGCGGGGTTTGGCGGGTGCATGGAATGGACTTTGGGTCTTTGCTTGATGGACGGGCTGAATTTTGAGGCAATGGAGAAAGTTGTGCATCCAGCTCGGCTCACAACGATGTAGCGGCTACATGATTCGGCCGAAATTTTTTGTGAACCGCAAAGAAATTTGCGCACACCTGTTGGACGCCAGTTAGGCGCCATACACATGGGGTGACCCAATACCCTCTTATGATGGCCGGCGCTAAGCTAAACAACTTAATAGGTATCAACAACGTTGTCAGCAGATTTGAATGTAGCCCTGCACCTGCTGCAGCCCTCAGACCTTCAGAGACAGCCAGGGCCAGAGCGTCCATGCACCCGTCAAACCCAATGTTTATGAATGAAAAACGGTAACTGCTATTACAAATGCCCATTGCATCCCAGTCCAATTGGTGCCTTTAACACTATGAAATTCCCTTAACAAACGGAATTTGGTGAAAGTGCCAACAGTATGCCAGCACCACTCTCAGTTAACTGTAAGAAGTATGAGGTAGTGAAGAGCAATGAAGATTGTGTTCTCACCTGGTGAGGGTGTAGTCGGCCTCCGTGCCCCCAGGGGTGACCCAGGAGGGGCGGCCGAGGGCGAGGCGGCCGTGGGCGGCCAGGGTGTAGGCGGGGTGGGCGCAGGAGGCGTCGTGGTAGGTGTGGAGGGCCAGCTGGAAGCTGCCGTCCCCGTGGAAGGTGTAGGCCCGCAGCACGTGGCGGGGTCCCGGACGCGTCTCGCACCTGGACCACAACAACAACACTTAATTACCACAATAATAATTATAATTATAATATAATTACACAAGGAAATTATACTAAATGTCATATCAATGAGAAAATCAATTGGAGCAATACAGGGATTCGAACCAGCAACCTTGTTAAGGGGTGCGCCAAGGGGTAAGTACCCTGGTCGCTGCTTCATGTCCCCGCATTGGTCTAACCGACTCTAAATAATAATAATAATAATAATAATAATTCAGACAAAATTATTCCCATGCTCCTCCCACTCTCATGGAGTGGAGGGGGGGGGGGCCATCAGTCTGGAGACAATAAACATTTCTAAATTCATTATACCATTCACAATATAGGTGTGTGTGTGTGCGTGTGTGTATTCACCTAGTTGTGATTGCGGGGGTTGAGCTTTGTGTGTGTGTGTGTGTGTGTGTGAGCGTGAGCACAGTGTCACACAAAACCACGACCCATTAGTGTTGTGTGAGGGGTAACCCGTCCTCCTGTATATATAGTACTACTAGCAACTATCTGTGCACCATAGTACAAACACTGACGTATTAAGCAATTAGTAGAATTTGGCACTATTCACTTTATAGCCCGAAAAAATTAAGCTAAAACACAAACTTAAAATATTCCCAGGCCCAGTATAGTACACATATGTACTATAATAGGCCTCAGATAGCGTGTATTAGGCCTAGGAGGCTTAGGTTAGTTTAGTTTGTCTTTACAACATAAGTAGAAAATTGTTTTCCAGTTTGTCCAATTTCAATAGTACAGATTTCTACTTTCTAACTGCGTGTACGCCGGTATATGTACTATGGTCCTCGTCGTTACTATAAGTACATTAATATGAAAACGGGAAGATGGTCGGTGTCAATAATAATGCCCCCCCCCCCCACACTTCAAGAAAGGGGTCACTGTCGAAGGCGTTATTTTGATCAAGTCTGAAATTAGTAATTTGGTTTCCGTACAGTTTTGGAGTAATTTAAAAAACACTTAATATTACATTTTCAGAGAGAGAGAGAGAGAGATGGGAGCGAGAGATGAGATGAGAGATGAGAGAGACCGCCTTTCACAATAAGCGTCACCAACCAGTGTGTACAGATCAAAAGGAACCATTGTGGGGTGGGGCGAGGCATGGCTGCAGGTGCCGCCACGAGCCGTGCCCGCTATACACTATAATGTATCATGGTGTCATCCAGCGAGGCCGTCACAACACCTGCACTAGTTAACACCGCACAACACACCGCTCCCAACTACACACAGCACGCCGGCCCACCGTACAACCCGCACATTGAGGCGTGTTCGCCCACTGGACCATTCAACACTTCCTTACTAAGTTATGGTTCAATCAGAACCATCCTTAGCTCAAAGCCCACATTTGCTACGAGAGGAGGGGGGGCCACTACCCTCAGATCCACATATAACACTCAATAACTCTCCTTCATCATGTATCTAATATCTATAACTCCTGAACAATGCAGGCAATAAAAAAAAATACACATTTAGCCATTTTTATTTCGGTCTACCATATTAGTTGTTAGACATCGCTGACCTGTTTTCTCTTAGATCTTCCGTTTTCTATAATTAGCAGTGAGGGGGGACGCGCCCATCCTGGCGGCTCTTCCTCCCGGCATTAAACTATTTAGGTGCACTTTACGTCTGAGACGGCTGGCCTGCCATGCACACAACCATATAATTGGCTCCTTAAGTTAGCGAAGAAAACCAATTATATCCTAGTAAATGTCAGGGTGATGTGTGGCGGGGCGTCAGGTGTGGGGGAGGGGCGGGTGGCAGGTGTGGAGGAGGAGAGGGGCGCCAGGTGTGGTGGAGGAGAGGGGCGTCAGGTGTGGGGGAGGGGCGGTTGGCAGGTGTGGGGGAGCAGAGGGGCGCCAGGTGTGGGGGATGAGCGGGTGCAGGTGTGGGGGAGCAGAGGGGCGTCAGGTGTGGGGGAGGAGCGGGTGCAGGTGTGGGGGAGGAGAGGGGCGCCAGGTGTGGGGGAGGAGAGGGGCGCCAGGTGTGGGGGGAGGAGGGGGGCGCCAGGTGTGGGGGAGGAGAGGGGCGCCAGGTGTGGGGGAGGAGGGGGGGCGCCAGGTGTGGGGGGTGGGGGCAGGAGCCGAGCATCAGGAGACCTCCCCCGCCCCCCTGCGCGGCGACGGGTCGCCTGGCGGACCAACGCTCCGCTCTGCGGTTTATGACTCCAAAGTGATTGCCAAGAAAAAAATTAATTAAACAATATAAATAAGAACTGCATGAGGCGAGGAGGGAACGTGATCCCCCCCCCCCCCCCGGGCGCGCACGCGCACGCACACGCGGCTGAGTGGACAGTGTTCGAAGGGGGGGGGGGGTCGTAGTTCTAAGAGCCCGGGTTCGATTCCCGGTCTAGGCAGAAACAAATGTTCAGTTTCTTTCACCCTGATGCCCTTGTACACCTTGCAGTAAATAGGTACCTGGGAGTTAGACAGCTGCTACGGGCTGCATCTTGGGGATATGTGTTAGAGATAAATATGTATAGTAGATACGATAGAGGGAAATAGGTCAGAAGAGAGTACATTAAACAAGCGTCGATTAGAAAGTCGGGGTCCAAGAGCTAATAACTAGATCCTGCAGGCACAACCCGTCAATATAGAGCGCGCGCGCGTGGTATGGGGAGCGCGCGCGCGTGGTATGAGGAGCGCGCCCTGGGTAGTGGCTGGAGGTAGCCTAATAACAGAGTAATAAAGAAGTATAAACTAGTCAAACCACTTGGTCATTCAAGCTACCCTTCAATTGCCAGCGCCGCTCCACGCTGGGTTTCTCCTCCTAGAGAGGTACACGAACACTGAGGCAAGACGAGGTATTTATGAGAACACTTTACCCTGAATAACTATATAGCACTTGGAAGTAATATAACGACTAGATGGGAGCTGGGATACTGGACGCTGCCTACCCACTTGGACCATCAGGAATCGACCGCCGACCTTGCAAGAAGCGAGGCCGTCGGTCCTCCGACCAGTCCAAGTCGAAAGAAATTGCCACTCTGATAGGATTGATGATGATTAACATCTTTATCAACAAAATGTATTTACAAATTTCCCTAAAGATTAGTACCAACATTGAAGGACTGGAACACCGCGCTTTACCAGGAGTGGCGGTGTTGCCTGTGTATCAGTGCGCGCTCAACTGGAACACTTTCAATTGGAATATTAATACGTCAGGCATGTCCCCATCCTACGATTCTGGGCGAGACGAGAGAAATGTTAGGTGTGCAGGTTCCAAGTGAGACCACACTAGTATCAGGTGTCCAGGTCAATACTGACAACCATCATACTACAAGCAATCAGGACAAAGCCAGTACACCTGGGCTGGGAAGCGAGTAAAAGGTTCACCTCAACACCTGATTTTTGCCCGAAACGCTTTGCATAATAATGAGTTCATTGATTGTGTAAGTCGTGTCTACAATTGTACATTACTCTTGTGTTATTTGTACACATGTTTTTTGAATAAATATATGTATTTGTACAAGAGGTCGGCGCTTACACGGTGCGGAGTACCTAAAGGCTCTGAGGACATCCTAGCCTCACACACACGGATCCACATTGGTTAAGAGTTGCCAGGATATTTAGTAGGAAATAACAATATCAATGAATTTATTGTCATATAGAAAATAAAAAAAATCAGCAGGAAATAATAAACTAAAACTGATTCGATCAAAAATATGAGCTATGTTCCATAGTCATCCATCTGATAGACAAAAATGGCTTTGGAGATAGAACATAATATTTTTGTGGGTCGTGTAGAAAATATCATCCAATTTAACACACAACTCCAAGCAGGAGCAACTTATACATTGGACTAACATACATCTACGAGAACATTGTACAATAGGGACAAGCTGCATGTTACATCAGTGTGGATCTTCTTCAGCCCCAACACCCTCACTCCTGTGCGATTAATGTTCTCAGAGGTTTTGGGTAACGACATTACTCACAGATATCACATAGCGTGATGTATCATTGGGTAATGATAAACAGTAAGTGCTTAAGGATCTCTTTGTACAGTTGGCTTCGTTCTTGACTTACATTCGAAGAATCATGAGTTCGATTCCCGGGCGATACAGAAATGGTTGAGCACGTTTCCTCTCACCTAATGCCACTGTTCACCTAGCAGTAAATAGGTACCCAGGCGTTAGGCAAGTGTTGTGGGGTTGCCTCCTGGGGAGGGTCAGTAGGATGACGTTGTGGAGACCTGGATATAAGCCTAAAGTATATATCTATACCAACCCGTCCTCACACTAGGCTGTTTAAAGCAGCGGCCGTCCTCCCCAGTAGTATTCATCAACCTTAACATACTGTGTATTAAAAATTGGTTTGTTCTCATATATAAATTAATATTATTGTACATACACATTCTATGTGCACTTAGGCGTAGTTTAGGTTAGGTGTTTAGGGTTTGTTGGCGATTATTTGTATTTGAAGTATGTGGGTGAAGAATTTATAGCAACCCGTCCACGACTCGAGTCCATTACATCCAGCGGTCGACCCCGCAGACGCATTCATAAATGTGTACATGCTGTTCATTCAAAACGGAAATTTTTTCATATATAAATTAATATTATAATAGCATATTGTGCATATACAGTCATAGGTTAGGTTAGGTGTTTAGGTTCTGTTGGCGATTATTTGTATTTGAAGTTCGTGAGTGAAGCATTTACAGCGTTGTGGTTCGGAAAAAAATTCGTCAGTGAAGCACTTGTTCCGGAAGTGTTCGAACGAAATCAGTTGTGAGTCGTGTGTAAACCGTTTTTCATTCATAAACAGGGCGGGGTTTGGCGGCTGGATTAACGAGCTTGGATCTTTGTATGCGAGGACGGGTTGATATATACACAACCTTCATGTCCCTAACAAAACGAATTCAATAATAACACTGCTTAAAACTAAAGTACCAACTGGAGGGAGGGAGGAAGGGTGGGGGGGAGAGAGAGAGAGAGAGAGAGAGAGAGAGAGAGAGAGAGAGAGAGAGAGAGAGAG